CCACCAGTTCCTCAAATGGCGTCGTTTTTGCCTTGTATACGACGTCGTTTTTCGTTTCAAACGACGTCGTATCTCTCTCTGCAAAATGATATCGTTTATTCTCCTTAAAACGATGTCGTTGCATTCCCTTTTCCTCTTTTTTTTCAGTTATTACATTCTCACTCGATTTGACGCCTGAAAAGCTAAACTGGTTACTGCGCTATGGGCGGTCCCTAGGTTCCTTGAATTTTTATTCGAGAATCGAAACGTGCTAATAGTACCTAAAAATATTCCAAACGAACCCAAAATCAGTCCCATATCCCCAATTTTGAAATTCCGGCACGGCAGCTCCGCCGTGTTCCAACGACGGCACCACCGTGCTCCGACGACGGCGCAGCCGCTCGCGACGGTGGTCCGCCTCGGGTTGGCCACTTTCGACCAAATTTGACCGATTTTGCATTGATCCATAAGAAAAAAAATACGTTAAAGGATCTCGGTTGGCCAAAAAAATAAGAAAAATTGAAACTCACCAGGGGCTGGGCTCTCCGGTGCGGCGGCTCCTCCGGCTCACGTTGTAGTTGGGTGTTTTGCTCCGGTCAACCTATAGAGAAGGACACGGTGATCACAACGGTAGAAAAATTATACAAAACAGGAATCGAAAAGGGTCTCATCGGAGGTGTTTTGTAAAATTTTTCGCGGCGGCGCCGCCAAACTTCATCGGCACTTTTCAGCCAATTGGCCAGTCTTTTTGCTCTGGTTTTGCCATGGATGAGCTTAAAATTGAATTTCGTGCAAAATGAGAAGTTTTTACCTTTTTTGGTGGTCAGAGAGGATTCCGGTGCAGCGGCGGGTGGCGGTGGTCTGCCCCTAGCGGTTGGGTTGTCTGCTCTGGCGAGGGGATTTGATGGCTAGGGTTAGGGTTTAGTGCGGATGGGGGTTATTTATATCTGTCCGCTTTTGATCTGAGTCATCCATCGCGTTTGATCTGGACTGTCCGATCATAATTAAATAAGGAGTGAATTTAGACCATTCATCATGATAAAATATGGACCGTCCATTGCGATCCACTCTGGACCATCCGATCGCATTTGAATCTGGCCGTTCGATCACGTTTGGGAGGGAGCGCATCCAGGCCGTCCGTACGCGCAGGAACGGACCTGGGTCGTTCAATCGCGGGTACGCGGATCGCCCACGTGGCGTGTCCTAGTTCGTTGGGGCTGCTGACCGGACGTTCCACGTGTTAGAACTTCTCCAAATTGCAGTTTGATCATTGGTTTCCGATTTTTCTTTTAAAAATACTCTTAAAATCCAAATTTTTACCAATTTTTTCAAAAATTATTTGTAATTTCATACTCATTCAATTTTTACTTCATTTTTACCTCAAATTACATAAAATAAAATACAACAAAATAAAATAAAATAATAAAAAATTTTATTAATTACTTAATTATACACAAATTTTTATTTATTTTATTTTATTATTTTCTTTTTTTGTGTGGGTGTTACAATATAAACATTAATTGTAATACACTAAAAATAAAAATAATTTTTAAATAAATTCAAAAAATACAATTCGAATTTTTATTTTTTTATTAAATAAATTGATGTAATATTATGTGATATGTCATATATATATATATATATATACGCATATAAAATTTTTATAAATAATTATTTAATTTGACATTTTTGGTAATTTTGATCCATTGATTATAGTAATCAAAATCTCGCAATAGAAACCAAAACACTACAAAATTGGTTAATATTGATCGCAAATTACCCAATTCACTAGCAATTAATTAATTATTTCCAAAATATTTTAGAGTAGAAATGTTTGGAAAATTGCAATTATCTTTTTCAAAATTTTAAGTTTAACGAAAGGAAAGTTATCTCCTTTGTAATTATAATTATCTATTTTAATTATAAAAAAAAATCTAATCATCATAAAATATTTTTTTATATAAAAAAATCACGTAAATTCTATTTTAATTTGATTATATAATTTCACAATTAGACTAATAAACTAATTACTTAAACGTCAAATTTTAATATTTATTTCAAAGCTAGAGCTTATCTTGACAATTATCTTACATATTAATTAAATTGGTTTTTCATATTAATTAACAAAAGAACTCACGATCTTATGATGAAATTTAATCACCTCATTTATCTTTTTGCCATGTCTATATAATATTTTAATATTTATAATTAATTAATATATCGTTAGATTTATAAAATAAAAAAACAAAAAACCAAAATAGATCAAATTTTAGAAACTCATCAAATATATATCGCGTCAAAAAAGGAAAGATCACGAGGTTATTGACCCTATCAATTATTGCCAAGATAAGAAGATATATAATTTGGGTTAATTATAAAATTTAATATTTTGAATTAGTTATAATTTGGGATTATGCAATTAATCCATGTTTTATAACTTTCGAAATAAGAATATAAATAGATCACTGTCTGCCAACTTCCATGGATCGATCATTATCAAGATATTACACAAAAAAAAAAGAAAAATGAAAATGGCAAGAATTTTTTCTTACTTTCCTCCTGTTAGTTTTAATTTCTATGGCTACGTCCCAAATTTTCTAGTCATCTAATCTTTTGAAGTTTGAGTTTACAGGAGCTTGTCAGTCTCTGTTCAGTAATCATGTTTGTAGTAGTTTCAACGAGTCATGCTCAGACTTTTAACGTAATGGATTTTGGAGCTAAAGGAGACGGAAAGACAGATGATTCTCGAGTATGTATTCACGTATATAAACATTCTCATGTATGTATTTACTCTTATTTCTAACGAAGCTTTTACTTAAACAAAAGAAAAAAAAGGAAGAATCAAAATTTTCTCCATACTGATTCCTTATGTGTACGCATTTACATACATGGATACATACGGATTCCTTCTCGATATTGATACACGTACACATATATGTATATATATACACATCCCATCCTTCTAATTAGTCCTTTACTTATATTTCCTTAAAAACTTATATCCATATATATATATATTAAATTTGGAAGCAACATTATTGGTAAGATCAAGTTATTCAGTAATTAATATTCAAATATTTTACTACGTATACAAATAAAAGTTATACGTCAATAAATAATTTAATAAAGTTTATTTGTACCTTTCTATATATATATAAATGTATATATACGACACGCATATAAATGTAGATTTATAGACATAATAAGCTGATTACTTGTGCGAAAAAAATGTCTTTTAATTATTTTAATTGTTTTTTTTTCAGCAATTAAGAAGAATATCTTATTTAATTATCGTTAATTAATATTTGATTTGAATTTATTAAAATGTAAAGGCTTTTAGCAAGGCATGGGCAGCAACATGTGGAGCATCGTCAAGTCTAAAAAAACTCGTCATTCCCCCAGGAAAAGCATTCTTGTTGAAGCCAATGAAATTCAGTGGCCCCTGCAAATCCAGAATTCTGGTTTATGTAAGTCTTTTCCCTTTTAAAAATTTAAGTTTCATATATATAAATAGAATAATAACAAACAAATTAAAACACATCAAATCTTCCTAATTATCCTTTTCACTCAATCTAATACGCCTTTGTACAATTGTACTTCCCAAATTACAATTTCTATTTCATCATATCCATCCATCGAGGTTAAACTAGTGTCGCTCGTAATATTGGCAAAGACATTCGGAATTGCTTTGATGGTCAAGTTATTAGGTTTCTGTCAAATAAAGACGTACTGCAAATCTTGTAAATATATAAAGATTTTTTGTAGATTTTATAGTAGGGTTTTACGGTACTTTCGTTTTTGAACATGAACTGAACTATATTTTAAAATTTGGTGGTTGTTTCGCAATGATATTCAAAATTAGAAATTGAATAAGTGTGTATGGTTGAATTGAAGTAAAAAAAATAAGAAATTTAAGGTTTTGAAATAATTTTAGAAATAAAACTTCTGCCATACAATAAGTTTACTGATTGTTTTATAATTTAGGGTTTTGAGATGGTTTTTATAGGGAAGAAGGTAAATAATTGAAAGATTAAGATTTTTTCACTTTTTCTTAGTTAGTTATTTTATCAAATAATTTCGTTATTTTTCTAATATAGTTTTTTTTAATTTAAAATAGTCATTCAAGTATTTGGAGATTACTCAAGGCCAACTCCTTGTTACTATTTTTCAGTATGGTGATTTTTTACCACCTAAAAAAATTCTTTGTTGCAAACTTTCTTCTCTCACGCACTAAACGGAAAGTTCGATAGCACTTCTCTTTCAAGTATATGTCTTGAATATTTACTTTATTAGTTTACTATCATATATTTAGATAATTTTTCATCTATTTATCTGCTCCTTTAGTATGAATTGTTGTTATATCATTTTCTCTACAGAGGATCTTGGGTTAGGGTGGATTATACTCATGTATATGTTATCATGATATATCTACAAAGAATCGTGAATTAGAAGTGGATCTGTTTCTGCATCTGTTATGATACGAGAATTATTTTTTTTACATTAGAATTGGTATATGTATATTACTTAATTTATTAATACATAAATTTACAGATATATATATATATATATATAATATGGAACATTTTTATTTTTTATTATGCAAATAAAAAGTGTGTTTATATTTTCACCTTCTATCATCTGTGTACAGCAAGCACACGAGGAAAGAGGAAAGATTAAAAAGCATAAATTCTTGTGTTTGTTTTGTTATTTTTTTTCATAACCTCTAACTTAAGAGAAAGTATAAAAAAAGTTTCATATAAAAGTATTTTCTTCTTATGGAAGTTTCTTAAAACAAAAAAGGAAATTGTTTTTACATAATCTTTTTTCATCATCGCAGATTGAAAGTTATTTGATGCCACCATTTAAAGGGCCAGAATGGGGAGAAGAGAAAGATAAATGGCTTGTTTTTCGAGGAATTCGTGACCTAATTATCAAAGGCTCTAACCAAATCGATGGTCGTGGTTCTAATTGGTGGAAATCTTGCAACAATGTGAGTTAATCAGTAACAAGTTTTAATTAATCTATTCTTACTTTCCTAAACTATTATTTTCTAATTATTTCCATTTATACAACACAGACGAACACTTGCATGAGACCCACTGTAAGTAAACATCATACTCACATACATATATACACATATTTACATATGTGTATATATATATATATATATATATATTTACCGTTCCTATCAACACCTCTCTTTATTTGTTTCATGCATGATTGGTTAATCATGGCTAGGCATTGTCATTTGAAGACTGTAGCAAGCTTCGTGTGGGTGGTATAACACACATCAACAGCGCAAGAAATCACATATCTATATATAATTGTGTAGACGTACTCCTCGAAGATCTTCGTTTGTATGCTCCCAATGATAGCCCTAATACTGACGGCATTAACATTGGTCAATCTAGGAACATTCAAATTGTTGACACCTTTATTGGCACAGGTATACATATATATATATATATATAAATATTTTTCTTTTGTTTAGTTATGTATATAAAAATCTTAAGTTCTTTTTTTACTAAAAGTTAATAAATTGTAGGTGATGATTGTGTTGCAATCAATTCTGGAAGTTATAATATTACTATTACACGTATGACATGTGGGCCGGGTCATGGTATAAGGTCAGTTTAGAATTTAATAAAAAACATATATTACCATTATAATTACCTATATATATATATATATATATATAGACATACATATACATGAATGAATACTTGCCTTTAAGTGGATTTATCATATAATATACATCAACAAAAACTAACGTTTGGTTAATCATAACTTGAATAGATAATATACATCAACAAAAACTAACGTTTGGTTAATCATAACTTGAATAGTATTGGAAGTTTAGGAAAGAATGGAGATGAGGCAAAAGTGGAGGACATACATGTTAAAAATTCTATTTTAAATGCATCTGACAATGGAGTAAGGATCAAAACATGGCAGGTAATTCAATTATAAACTTCAACATTTTAGATCTATATGTTCGAAAAATAATTATTAAGTATTAGATAATATTGAGTACTATAAGTTCTCGAAACTAATTATTATGAAAGTGTTAAATATTTATTTCATATAATTTAAAATTGTTGATTCTTGAAACAAACTTATTCAAAAAATTATTGAAAGAGAATTTCTTCTACAGGGAGGAAAAGGATATGTTAGAAAAATCTCATTTGAAGATATTACATTCATAGGAGTGGCAAACCCTATTGTCATTGATCAATATTACTGTCCTTATCAGATATGCAATGAACAAGTATGTATATAGTCAAAAGGTTTTGCTTCTTGATTTTGTGAATCATTTATTTAATAATAATTGAGGTATTAAATATAATAATTCATTTGTATTATTGTAATTCTCGAATTATTTATTATCTTTTGTATTTTTGAACGATGATATAGAGTAATGCAGTTCAAATAAGTGATGTTTCTTACATTAGAGCACGAGGAACAACTAGAACCAGTAAAGCGATCATCTTAAATTGTAGCAAAACTGTTGGGTGCAATAACATTATGCTCGATGGAATAAACATATCAGCAGTTGATAATAAAGCAGTCTCAGCTACCTGCATTAATGCTCATGGAAGTTGGCGTAATTCAAATCCTCCTGTGAACTGTCTTAATTAGAGATCTATCTGTCTCATGTTAATATAATAATGTAGTGAAATATCTCTTGTTTTCTTAAGTTTGTAATTCTGTTGATTTTATACATTAAATAATGGAAATTAAGTGCATTATGCACTTGTTTTCTTGAATTTGTAAAAATGGTGCTTTTATATCTTAAGTGATGGAAGTTTGCTTTAATTGTATTCTGAATTTATTTAAGTATATCTATATTTTTATATCATTTTTTTTAAATTTTGAATCTAATCGAGATGTTGGACTAAGAAACCCCACAACAAATGCAAGCAGCACAACCTTATTGCAAAATACTGCATAAATCAAGTTCGTGATCATGCAAATTTCATAGAATGAAAGAATAATCTAAAAAATATTTTTTTTACATATCACACTGTAATTGAAAAAAATGATAATATTTGGTACCTAAATAATGACTTCAAAAACCACTTGGCAGGTAACCAAAAATTGTTCCAAGTTATATATGCATCACACAAGACCCAAGAAAACATGAGAGGCAAAGTCAAGTTGTGGAAACTAAGATGAGACCTAAATTTTTTCGAGATGTACTATTAGTGCTAAATTTAAAATAGGATTTGTTGAGTATCGAACAACTTCTACAAAATGGTTATGTAATTTATTTTGAAGATGAAGGTTACAAAATTTTCAATTGGAGAAATAACAATCATTTGCTAGCCTAAGTTGATATGAAGAGGTCTAAAAATTTTCTTCTACAAATAAACTGTATTCCAGAAGTGATATTACGGACTGAGATAACAAACTACTCATATTTATAACACAAAAGATACTGTCATCTCAATTATAATACTTTAAAACTTCTAAAAGTTAAAAATATAATTCAAGGTCTACCATTTATCAACACAAGTTCGAGCAAATGTGAATGATGCAACGATGCATCTTTAACAAGTAGCATTAAACATCTTTTCCATTTAGAGGATCTTGGTGAACACGTGCACCTCTTGAACTAGTTCATACCAACATATACGGAAAGGTGCAGACACCATCACAAGATCAAAGTTTGTATTTTTTAAGTTTTATTGATAATTATTTAAAAAGGACATTGATATTTTTTTAAAAAAAAATTAGAAATCTTTGAAGTGTTAAAATCATAAAAAATCAAAGTGATCATAAAATTAATGATTTATTAAGTGATTAAGGCAGTGAGTTTACCTTAAGAGACCATGATCGTTTTTTTGTAAAGAACATGATATTAAGAGATAGTTGACGGCAGCATATATTACTCAACAAAATAGTATCACTGAAAAAAAGAATCAGCCGATTGTCAAAATTATAAGATTGATGCTCAAAGAAAAAAATATGTCAAACACTTGTTGGGTAGAAGCATTAAAAACAGCAATTTATATTTTGAATATGGGTTCAATGAAATCAGTTCCAAATCAAACTCCAATTGAAGCTTGGAGCAGCATCAAGCCAGTCATTAGCTACATGAATATTTTTAATTGTTTATGTTATGCTCATGTACCGATCAAGAATAGATCAAAGTTTGATAACAAATATAAAATATATATTTTTGTTGATTATGCTGATGGTGCAAAAGAGTACATAATGTATAATTTAAAAAAAATGATTAACGATATCTTGTTCGATGATGAAAATGCTTACTGAAATTAAGAAGAAGAGGAAGTTTAAGAAAAGCAATTATCACCAACTATTATCTCATGGGGAAAAGCAATCATCACCATCTATTATCTCATTGGATCAATCAACCTCTCAGATCATCGAGTTGCATGTTCAAGATAGCACTTCAAGACAAGGTGAGTCTAGTTCAAGCTATAATTTCTATTTTAAGTTCAAATCCGAATTCCATTAGAAATGATCACGTTATTTCAAGGTTATAATTTAATGAGAAAATAGCAAGTTATCATAAAACAAATAAATTAAGAAGAAAAATGCAGGGGGCTTTTATTATATAAATGCATGCAGCAAACCATACACACACGATAATGTGCTTTTACACCCACTATCTTCTCTCCCCCCCCCCCCCAATCTCTGCGGCTAAACCGCAAGAACAAGGACTCAACTTCTTTATTTCTTTCGTGCTTATACATATATGGATCCTCTGCATACATGGCCGTCCTCTGCATATATATACATATACATATATATAGAGAGAGAGAGAGACGGAGAGGTTTACACCAATTGCTGGCCAAAGGGACAAGTGACGCGAGGCTGCAACTGGCACATGTTGGGTATGTTGCTGGCGATACGGTGCATCCTCCTCACCTGCTGCTGTACCTGTTGTCCCGGTCGTCCCTGTTGTCCCTGTGTTCTCTGTTGTTGAATCCTCACTGCGCGTCTCAGCACCGGGCACCTGCATTGTGGGTCAATGTTTCTCAGCTGTTGGCAGCATATCTGGAAGTCTTGCTGACCACGCTGCTGCTGCTGATTCTCCTCATCTTCATCATCGACTACTAATTCATCTTCCAGGCGAGGTCCTCTCGAGGTTTGTCTCCTGATGAAACGCTGGCAAGCTCTGAGTCGTTGGTGCCTCACGAACTCCTGTTGGCATCTCTGTTGTTGCGGTCGTTGTTGGTTCTCCTCATCCTCCTCAAACTCGTATTGGAGGTCGAATGTGGAGGCTTTGGCGAGGAGCATGAAGAGAGCGAAGGTGGCGAAGAGGAGAGTGAGTTTCGACGCCATTGATGATGGTGGTGATGATGATGATGATGATTGATTTGTATATAATTGATGGATGGGTGGAATTGAAGTGGGGGAATGGATGGGTATTTAAAGAAGGCTTGGAGGGTTTGCATGGCGAGAACGTGTAAGATGAGGTGGTGATGCTTGGTGACATAAACTCACACGTAGCTTTACACCATGCAAATACTCCAACCCAAAAATGGCTTTCGGCTTCTGCTTCTGGTTCTTCTCCTTCTCTACTGAGATCCGTGCATGGAGTTGTCTGTACGCTGCGAAGTGAGCGAAAATTCCAACTTATTCACGTTAAATAAAATTTGGTCGTACTTAAAAATATTTCTGAAATTAATTATGTCGATTTTTATCGCCAATCAAAATGAAAATAATTTTTTTCTTTTGAAGAACAAAGAGTTTTAACCAATAAACTGAAACAAAATCTTGTACTAACACGTACCAATTTTTTTTTTTTAATATAAAATATATTATTTAACTTTAGTAAATAGTGATTTATGAATGATATATTATATAACTTTAGTAAATAGTAAATAGTGATTTAATTTTACACTTTTAGTAATTTTTCATTCGTTGATCATAGAAATCAAAATCTCCCAGCAGGCAACAAAAGCATTACAAAATTGATAGATATTGATTGCAAATTATCCAATTCACTAGCAATTAATTTACTCATTTGCAAAATTCAAACAAATTTCTTGGCAAACATGGACACAGAGGAGGATACGCATTGACCCAGAAGGAGATTATTCCTAAATTTAGAAATTTGGATATATCTATATAAATACATATTCATAATAATGTGTGTAGTAATCGGTTGTAGCTATCTAATTAAGTAAATTTAATTATTTTTTAAAAATTTAACTTAATTTAATTTTCGTATCTTCATTTATACATTAATGAATTAACTATTTGACTTAATTAAATTAATTTTTTTTTATAAATGTACTAATTATTAACTCAAACATCAAATTTTAATATTTATTTTCATGCTAGAACCTGTCTGGATAATTATCTTCTTTTACATACATATTAATCAATAAAAGAAGAATTGAAGAAATGTAATCACCCCGTTTAAGTTTTTTCCATGTCTTTATAATATTTTGATATTTATAATTAATTAATATATAGTTTTACTTTTACCAGAAAATATTTATCAATTTTTATATTTATTAAAAAAAAATCAGCTACTCTGAACAAATTTTAGAAACCCATTAAATTATTTATTATAATTAATTATAATGTAGGATTATGCAATCAACTTAAGTTTTTAAACTTTCAAAATAATAATATAAATAGAACACGACAGATTATTTTCTGCCAACTTCATTATCAAGAAAGAAAGAAAAAAAAAGAAAAGAAAATGGCATGAACTCTTTCTCATTTTTCTCTGGTTAATTTGATTTGTTTTTTTGTTTTTAATTTCTAAACTTTTTAGTCATATAATCTTTTGAAGTTTAATTTTACAGGAGTTTGTCAGTCTTTTTTCAGTAATCATTCATGTGCTAGTTTCAGTGAGTTATGCTCAAAATTTTAATGTAATGAATTTTGGAGCTAAAGGAGACGGAAAGACAGATGATTCTCAAGTATGTGTACACCCTTATAATATATGTACATATATATATGTATATATACATATGCACATATTTTCAAGTATGTATATACCCTTATTTGTAACGAAGCTTTTACTTAAAAAATTATATTCAAATTTCATGTTGTAAGTTTTCTTGTAAAAATAATTTTGCTCCAAGTGTATTAAGTCGAAATTATATAACGTTGACGATTTAAATTTGAGTCGTATTCTTAATCTATTTAAAAGATAAATTTTTGTGTGTGTAATTTGTAAGAAACTAACGTTTAAAATAGGGTATTTATATCTCGTTAATATATTTTTGCAATTAAATTAAAACATATGATCTACACTAGGATTAGAGGTTTAGTCCTAAAATGATATAATTATGTTTTAATTAAAAAACTTATAAAGTAATTTTATTAGAAAGTGGAAAATTCAAATGAAAATATTACTCTCAAACTACATATATACGTGTATATGTATATATATATATATATATATATGAAATGTTCTAATTTTCATTTCTTCTGTTTAACAATTTTAAACTCTACTATGAATCCACAATTATGTGTACGAATTTATATACATATATACATATCCATTCCTTTTCGATATTGATACATATACACATATATGTACACATGTATGTGATATTATATTGATACCAAGTGAATTCTACTTTATCGTATATAAAATAACTTATTTATGATTAGGGGATTGATTTTTTGTACCCAATTATTATTAATCCGTAATTTATATTTCCTTAAAAAACTTATGACCATATATATATATATATATATAATATTTGGATGCAAATCGTTGGTAAGATCAAGTTATTTAGTAATTCATTACCAAATATTTTACTATGGATCAAATAAAAGTTATGTGTCATATAAATAATTTATATAGAATACACTTTAACAAAGTTTGTTTTTACCTCTCAATATATACAAACACAGACACGTAAATGTAGATTTATATACATAATAAGCTAGTTATTTATGCAAAAAAAATGTCTTTTAATTAGTTTAATTGTTTTTTTTTTCAGCAATTAAGAAGAATATCTTATTTAATTATCATTAATTAATATTTGATTTGAATTTATTAAAATGTAAAGGCTTTTAGCAAGGCATGGGCAGCAACATGTGGAGCATCGTCAAGTCTAAAAGAACTCGTCATTCCCCCAGGAAAAGCATTCTTGTTGAAGCCAATGAAATTCAGTGGCCCCTGCAAATCCAGAATTCTGATTTCTGTAAGTCTTTTTCCTTTCTTCTTTGCTCTAAAAAATTTATATTAGAGCTCTTAAATCCATCTAATATACCCTTGTACAACCGTGCTTGCCAAGTTACAATCTCTGCTTCATTATATCCATCGAAGTTAAAGTAGTGTCACTCATAACATTAGTAAAGAGCTCTGAAATTATTTTGACGGTTAAGTTAATAAGTTTATGTTGAATAAGAATTTATTGTAAATCTTTTAAACACATAAAAACTTTTTGCAAATTTTATAACGAGGTTTGATAGAACCTCGTATTTGAACATGAATTGAACTATCTTTTGAAATTTAGTGGTTGTTTCGTACTAATAGTCAAAAGTGAATAAATGTATATGGTTAAATTGAAGTAAAGAATAAGAATTTTAGGGTTTTAAAATAATTTTAGAAGTGAAATTTTTATCGTACAATAAATTTAGTGATTGTTTTGTAATTTAGAGTTTTGAAATAATTTTTATAGAGAAGAAGATGAATGATTGAGAGACTAAGATTTTTCTAATTTTTCTTAGAATCTTACCGAATAGTTTCATTGTTCTTCTATTCTTTTTTATTTAAAACAGTTATTCAAATGTTTGAAGAGTATTCAAACTTTAAATATTTGATATATTATAATCATTTAAAACAAATAAAAAATTCAAATGGTTCTTTTCATCTTTCTAAATATTTAGAGTTGTTTTATTTTTTAATTATAAGTTTACTAACTAGATAGTACTTCTAATACAAGAAAGTTAATTGAGTTATATTAGTCAACTGGATAACTTTGAGTTGCCATAATGGTATCTTTCTTAAAGGGTTAACTTTTTATTACTACTTTTCAGTATGGTAATTTTTTACTATCTAAAAATTTTGTTGTTGCAAAGTTTCTTCTCTCACTCACTAGGCGGAAAGTTCGACAGCACTTCTCTTTCAAGTCATTCGTATCAAATTGATAAATAAAAGAATTAGAGAAGTACGAGTGATTGACAACTAATTAATAGGTTATGGCAGAAATTCATTAATTCTTCAATAAGTCTGAGGGCAAAAATATTGATTTTTAATAGTATAAAAGTTTGAGCACTGCTTTCTGAGTAAAAAATATTTATAATTAACATGTAATATTATCATTATAATTTGAGATAAAATTAAGTATATGTCTTCACGTTTTTATTTTATTAGTTTACTATCATATCTTTCATTTATAAATTATTACTTAATTGAATTGTTGTTATATTATTTCCTCTACAAGAGATCGTGAGCTAAGGTTGGATTGTACTCATGTATCTGTCATAATATATTTATAAATATATTTATAAAGAATCGTGAATTAAGGTTGGATTGTGCTCCTAAATCTGTCATGATATGAAAATTATTTTTATTGTATTATAATTAATATATGTATATTACGTAATTCAACAATACATAAATTTACTCAAAAAGAAAATACATATGGAAAATTTCTATATTTTTTATTATACAAATCAAAAGTGTGTATTTATATTTTCACTTTCTATCATGTGTGTAGAGCAAGCACATGAGAAAAGAGGGAAGACAAAAAAGTATAATTTCTTTGTGTTTGTTTTGTTATCTTTTCATAACCTCTAACTTAAGAGAGTGTATAAAAATGTTTTCTAAGAAAACTACTTTCTTTTTATGGAAGTTTCCTAAAACAAAAAAAGGAAATTGTTTTTTGCAGATTGAAGGTTATTTGATGGCACCATTCAAAGGCCCAGAGTGGGGAGAAGAGAAAAAGAAATGGCTTGTTTTTCAAGGAATTCATGACCTAATTATCAAAGGCTCTAACAAAATCGATGGTCGTGGTTCTGATTGGTGGAAATCTTGTAACAATGTGAGTTAATTAGTAATAAGTTTTAGTTAATCTATTTTTAGTTTCATAAACTATTATTTCTTAATTATTATTTTCTTTATACAATACAGACGGACAACTGCATGAGACCCACTGTAAGTAAACATCATAATCATACCCACATACATACGTACATATATATACATATATTTACTATTCCTTTACGTGAAAATTTAGTGCATTTCATGCGTGGTTGGTTAATTATTGTTAGGCATTGTCATTTGAAGACTCCAGCAAGCTTCATGTGAGTGGTTTAACACACATCAACAGCGCGAAAAACCATATATCTATACATAATTGTGTAGACGTACACCTGGAAGACCTCCATATATATGCTCCCCATGATAGCCCTAATACTGATGGAATTGACATTAGTGAATCTAGGAACATTGAAATTGTTGACACATTTATTGGCACAGGTATATATAGATATATATATAAATATTCCTATCTTTTCTTATTTAGTTATGTATGTGAACATGCTTCAATGTTTTAATCCAATGATTCATCATCTTGAGTTCTTCTTTTTCATGATAAGTTAATAAATTGTAGGTGACGATTGTGTTGCACTCAATTCTGGATGTTATAATATTACTATTACACATATGACATGTGGTCCGGGTCATGGCATAAGGTTAGTTTAAAATATAATAAGAAATATATATTATTATCGTAGTTACCCATATAGATATATAGACATACATATACATGAATGAATACTTGTCTTTAACTGGATTTATCATATACATACATCAAGAGAACTAATGTCTAGCTAATGATGACTTCAATAGTATTGGAAGTTTAGGAAAAAATGGAGAAGATGCAAAAGTGGAGGGAATACATGTTAAAAGTTCGACTCTAAATGCATCCGATAATGGATTAAGGATCAAAACATGGCAGGTAATTAAATTATAAACTTCTACACTTTGAATCTATTTATTGAAAAATAATTGTTAAGTATTATATAGTATTGGCTACTTGACTTCTCGAAACTAAAGATTACGAAATTGTTAAATTTTTATTTGATATCATTTGAAACTTGTCAATTCTTATAACAATATTTTTCAAAAAATTATTGAAAGAAAATTTTTTCTGCAGGGAGGAAAGGGATATGCTAGAAATATCTCATTTGAAGATGTTACGTTCATAAAAGTTGCAAACCCTATTGTCATTGACCAATATTACTGTCCTCATAAGAGATGCAATGAACAAGTATGTATATAATTAAAAAGTTTTGCTTCTTGATTTCATGAATCATTTATTTAATAACAATAACCTTATACTAATTGAAGTATTAAACACAATAATTCATTTGCATTATTGTAATTCTTTAAATATTTATTATCTTTTGTGTTTTTGAATGATGAATTAGAGTAGTGCAGTTCAAATAAGTGATGTTTCTTATATTGGAGCACGAGGAACAACGAGAACCAGTGAAGCAATCATCTTAAATTGTAGCAAAACCGTTGGGTGCAATAACATTACGCTCGATGGAATAAACATATCAGCGGTTGATAATAAGGCAGTCTCAGCTACCTGCATTAATGCTCAAGGAAGCTGGCTTAACTCGAAGCCTCCTATAAATTGTCTTAAGTAGAGATTTTTCTATGTCATGTTAAAATAATAATGTAGTGAAATATCACTTGTTTCCTTGATTATGTAAATATGTTGCCTTTTGTACCTTAAATAATGGAAATTTGCAATAATTTGATGTTAAATTCTTTTCAGTACTTCTATATATTTATATTTTCTGGTTATGTTTTGTTCTTTTTATTTTGAATCAAGTATAGGTGCAGTTCTATGAATAGAGGAGGAAGTAGAGAATGACTCTGCCACTGGACAAGAAATAGAGTCGGAGACAGAGCAAACGTCTGCTGCTGCACACACTCCCCTCTTATTACCCGCCATGTGGGCTTATCTCTACAGTTTGTCCACCAATATCTTGATTGATAGAACTAAATTACTCACGAAAACCATTACAAAAAGCATAACAATCAAATTGAAATTTTAACCCGATGGTTTTTAACAAAATCATAGACAAAATAGTGAAGAAAGTTGAGGAAGTTATCCACCAAAATTTTCCGCCATTTTTTTGATAAATTTTCATCAATGACTAGCATCTATTTGTTGATAACTCGCGAAAATGGTAGCTCCATGGAAGTTCTCTTAATAAATTATCTATTAACAATAATCATCAAGAAACACCCACTAGTAAGGAGGATTCATCTTGTAGCAAATTTATCAAATACTCTAGGCCATTTCTCAAATCATGTGATTAGAGAATGTGTAAACTTTCTACAAGTTGCAGTAGATAACACAAGCCTTTAAACTATATTAATTTGACAAACATCTTATGTTTAATAACACAACACGAACAAAACCATATATTTAAATTAGTTCATATCTTTATCTTGTAAAGGCACTTCAATCATTTAATATTTCCAAGCAGATGTTAATTAAGGTTCGTCTCTGACAGAGAGGAAAACTAAGCATTGCCTCACACTCCTTCATGAGTTTGTAGAGTAAGTCCGTTGAGAAGAATGGTTATTGAAAACCCTGTGCGTAACCCCAGCCAATAGACTCACCTGCACGTTTCTTGTGCTTCTTCACAATCTCACCAGTCTTGTTTCATGTAATCACCCATGTTAAACCTTGCAAATTTCATAACTTTTCAAAGTTTCTTTTCAAAAAATTTGAGTCACCGTCGCCGAAGCACGACAGTAACACCGTACCGGAATTCTGAAATTGGTCAGAAAAAGTTTTTAACACCAATTTTAAATTTTTTAGGGTATTTTTAAGTACGTTAAGAGTATTTTAATCTCCGCATGAAAATTTAGGAAATCTAGGGATTGCTAATAAACGCAATAGAAAGTTTGGTATTTCAGACATTGATTCGGGTAAGAATATCTTATCTTATTCTCTGTTATGGAATTAAAGCTTAATAATCGGTAATATAGTATTTTGTGTAATTTAAAAAATTTGAGAATAATTACAGGTTACCAATAGAGCTGCAGCTCTAATTGTAGGATCAATTTCTCTTAGAATGCCTACGGGCAAAGTACTTTTATTGGAGGATTATTATTTCGTTCCAAAATTTATTTCGAACATAATTTCAATATCTTTTTTGGACCAATATAGTTTTCGTATTATTTTAAATGATGAAGTTTATTCTATTTATTATGATGATGATTTATATATAAATGGTTATCTCCAACATGGTATTTATGTCTTATTTGATATGAATGAAAACTCAGTCTTGCATGTTTCTAGTCTTAAGAGAAAAAGAGATGATCAAATAAATTATATATATCTTTGGTATTGTAGGCTTGGTCATATTGGAGAGAAAAAAATAAGTAAGTTGTACAAAAAAGGTTACCTTAACAAATATGATTATGAATCATATCCAACTTGTGAATCTTGTCTTAAAGAAAAATTGACCAAATCTCCATTTGTTGGAAGTGAAGAAAAAGCTTTTGAATTATTGGGACTAATTCATACTGATGTTTGTACCCCCATGAAAACTCAAGTCATATGAGGATATTCTTACTTTATCACATTCATTGATTATATGTCAATATATGGATTTGTGTATCACATGAAACATAATTTTGAGTCTTTTGAAATGTTCAAAAGATTCTATAATGAAGTTGAGAAATAGACTTATAAAAGCATTGAAGTGCTAAGGTCTGATGGAGGAAGAGAATATCTTAGTGATAATTTTACTAGATATCTCAAAGAGAATGGGATTCTCTCACAATGGACCCATCTTGGAACACTACAACACAATGGTGTATCTGAAAGAAGAAATCGAATCTTATTAGATATGATGAGATCAATGATGGAGTTTCTAGATTTTCTAATTAATTTATGGGGGATATGCTTTAGAAATTGCAGCATATTTGTTAAATAAATTACCCACTAAGTTAGTCTCTATAATACCATATGAGATATGAAAATGACATAAACTGACCCTTAAGCATGTTAAAGTTTGGAGTTATCCAGCTTATGTTAAGAGATTACAAACTGATAAACTTGACTCAATATCTGATAAGTGCAGATTCATTGGGTATCTTAAAGAAACAATGGGATGTTATTTCTATCACCCATCTAACCATAAAGTGTTTGTGGCTAGGGGAACAACCTTTTTGAAAAGGGAATTTCTTTTTGAAGGAAATTATGGTGAAAGAATTGAACTTGATGAAGTTCAAAAAACTAATGAATCAATATAAGAAGATGATCATGAGAACCAAGTTGGGCAACCTTTATTAGATATTTTAAAGATGATAAAGAAGTTCTCATCTCCAATGGTTGAGGTTCAAGAAACAAGTGTTATTCAAGGACCAGTTAATGAATTGGTTCAAAATCAGAGTGAACAACAATCTAATCTAGTACAAAATGAGCAAGTTGTACACGAACCACTTAGAAGGTCTAGTAGACAACGTCGTGCACTAGATAGGTTAAATTTTTAGTGCAAGATGATGTAATAAATGAGGTTAATCATGATAATAATGACGCCAATAACTATGAAGAGGCTATCCAAGATTCTAATTCTGAGAAATGGATAAAGGCCATGGAATCTGAAATGGAATCCATGAAAGTCAACAAAGTTAGGACTTTAGTTGAAACTTCAAAGGATATAAAACCTATTGGTTGTAAATGGATTTTTAAGAAAAAGATTAAAGCAGACGGAAAGGTGGAGACCTATAAAACCCGTTTTATTCCTAATGGGTATCGTCAAAAGGAGAGAATCAATTATGACGAAACATTTTCTCATGTAGTAATGCTTAAATCAATTCGGATTCTACTTGTTGTAGCTGCATACTATGATTATGAGATATAGCAAATGGATGTGAAAACAACTTTCCTAAATGGTGAGTTAGAAGAGGATGTGTATATGACACAACCTGAAGATTTCATATCCCTATCTAATCATGATAAAGTCTGTAAGCTAAAAAGATCCATTTATGGATTAAAGCAAGCATCTCGAAGTTGGAATATTCATTTTAACAAAATAATTAAAAAGTTCAATTTTGTAAGATGCGAAAAGGAACCTTGTGTGTACAAAAAGGCTAGTGGGAGTACAATTATTTTTTTAGTATTGTATATAGATGATATATTATTCATCGGAAATGACATACCAGCATTACAAAATATAAAGATTTGGCTATCTGAACAGTTCTCCATGAAAGACTTAGGAGAAGCAGCTTATATATTAGGAATAAAGATCTATAGAGATAGATATAAGAAGTTGTTTGGACTTTTCCAGTCTATGTACATTGACACCATTTTGAAGAGGTTTAATATGAAAAATTTTTAAAGAGGCTATCTACCAATAGGCACTGGAATCACTCTAAGTAGAGAGAATTGTCTTAAGACCTCTGAAGAGAGAGAAAGAATGTAACGCCCGGAAAATTGGAAAATTTTGTTATTTTATTATTAATTATTTTTATTAAGTTAAAAAAAAAAAAGTGCCACGTCAGCAGCCACGTCAGAAGACCCAGTCAGCAGTCCTGGCCAACCAGGACTGCCACGTGGCAAGACCACGTCGACCGGGGACGGGCCACGTTGGCGATCCGCGTACGCGCGATCGAACTGCCCAGATCTAGCGTGCGCACGGACGGCCCAGATGCAATCGCACGGACGGCCCAAATTCAATCAAAAACGGACGGTCCAGATTAAATCAAAATGGACGGCTGAGATCAAAAGGCAAAAGGGTATAAATAGAACCCCCACACCTGACCACAAAAACCCTAGCCGCTTGCCCTCGCCAGAGAAGACGAACCAGACGCCGGAGAAGCCGGCCGCCGCCGCCACCCGCCGCCGCACTGGGGAGATTTCCGACCGCCGATCGAGGTAAATTTCATACCTCCGACTCGTTTTTCCACGCTGATTTCCCCTGTGGCCAAATCAGAGCCAAAATACCGGCCAAACGGCCGAAAAACACGACCGAAACCCAGCGGCGCCGCCGCCTCCCTCCTCAGTTTTTGCCTCCGATGAGGCCCTTCCCGGCCTCCGTTTGATGCAATTTTTATATCACTGTGATCACCATTCTTTTCTCTACAGGTTGATCGGAGTCGAATCACCAAAACACGAACCTCACCGGAGAGCCGCCGCACCCGAGAGCACCGCCGCCGGTAAGCTTCGGTTTTTCGTAATTTTTTGGCCCCCCGAGGGCCCTAGGGTTGTTTTATCGCAGGGACCGATGCAATTGTGGCCGAATTCGACCGAAAACGGTCAACCCGAGGCGAATCGCTGCCGCAAGCGGCGACGCCGTCGCCGGAGCACGGCGGAGCCGCCGTGCCGGAATTGCGATATTGGCCAAAAAGGGGCTCTGGGCCTAATTTGGGATTTTTTGGAACACGTGCAGGTACCGGTAGTGCATTTCAGTTTCCCGGGAAAAATTCAGGAAAAATTAGGGACAGGCTGTAGGCGCACTGTGAAGCCGTGTTCGGACCCCGAAACGAGTAAGGACCCCTCACCCTATTTCCTATCACGGTATTAAAGTTCAATAATGATAAAACGGTAATTTTTGAATCAACGAATGTGTGAAATTGCTTAAGGTCGCTATTAGAGCCCGAGTCTAGTGTGTTTGTCGGT